TGGGCGGGCCCAGGAGCAAAGGGGTCGGGTCGGGGCTAGCTTAAGCTTGACTTGCTAGCTCCTCGAGCTCAATTCACGAGCCACTTATCGAGTCGAGTCGGCTTAACCCTTACACCCCAAGCGGAGCCGCACCACAATTTTTTGTGTTTGATAAAATTGTATTTGCCTTCTTTTTCAAAAAACTATGTTTTGCAACCTAAACTAATTAAGTGGTGGTTGTTAAAAAGCTATGGTCTAACTTTTAAGCAAACTAATTGTAATAGTCATCTGAGTCTTTTGAACATTAACTTTTGCAAACCATAGGTTTCGAGATAAAACGTGAATTATTACCATGCATTTTATCGGCGGCTGCCTCGGCAGGGGGGTATCCCTTTCCTTTCTCGGTGACAACATGGATGAGAACTGGGCCAGGAGCAGGCATGGACTTCACCTTCTGCAAAATTGTCACCAAATGGTCGACGTTATGGCCGTCCACTGGACCAATGTAGTACAATCCAAGCTCCTCAAACAGTGAAGATCCTGAAGCGCTAATCATTCCTCTCGCATATTCATCCATTTTCGCGGCAACTTCATGCGTATGTCCACCAATTTGCTTCGTGATGCTCTGCTCAAATAATATAAATTAGAACAGAGAGAGAGCGCGAGCACATGTTTTGTTATAAAAAGTAAAAAAAATGATTTATATTCAAGTAGTTGCACAATATTTGAAGTTGATTTTTGGCCTGACAGCCATGAGCTCCACGCTCTGTATTTTTTAAATATTAAACAGAGCCAAAATTTATTCGGATTTGAAATTAACAGCGATATGTGCCAATAAATCCGCGATGGCCATGATTCGTCAGAGTTCGATTCACACACTAAATATTAATCTTAATGCGCTTGAGACTCATTTTTCCAAAAAAAATAGAATGAGGTTAGACCAGCATAAACTCATTCCTTGCAGGCATCTTTTTTCTTCTTGCTATTTTTTTGTCGTTTACATGCATTAATTACATAAATCACCAAGTACATGTAAAAAAAAAAAGAAAAGATTTTGATCTGTGAGCAACATGATGAAAATGAATTCAAGGCTATGCTGATAAAACTGTGATTTTTAACAAAACATCAAGATCCCATTTTGGTTGCTTTTAATCATAAAAAAAAATGCTATAATGAAACTGGTGAAAAAATTTTGACTCGATTAAAGGAATTTGTAGATTTTGAAATGAAAATTAACCTTTTTCTTAAATTCAAAAAGACCTTAAAATGATCACCTTTGCGGCTTCCCGAAGTTTTCTGAGCTTGGTGCTAGACTGGAGCTTAGAGAGGGCTCCGCTGAGAGCTCCCACCGGTGGTGCAGGCCCATCAATGGTGGCCGTCGGAAGAGATACTTGTTTGTTATCATTGAGCACGATTATGAGATTGGAATCCAAGAAACCTGAGTTGTTCATAGCTTCATAAGCTTGTCCGGCCGTCATGGCTCCATCTCCAATCACAGAGATGACATGGTGCTTCTTGCCCAACAAATCCCTCCCAACCGCCATTCCTATAAATACATCAATTACTAAATTTAATGGAAAAAAAGGAAAAAAAAACTTGAATTTGATAAAACAAAGCTATCATACATACCAAGTCCTGCAGAAATGCTTGTAGAGCTATGACCAGCCCCAAAAGCATCGTAGATGCTCTCTTCCCTTTTCGGGAAACCAGCAAGCCCAGATGTCTGCCTTAGAGTTAACATCCTTGACCTCCTTCCTGTCAAAATTTTATGCGGATATGCCTGCAAAAATTTAATGTTTTCAAACTCAAGCGCTGTGCGCTGACAGAAAAAATTTAGACAGAATAATGAATGGTTCCATCTTCTGCAACCTGATGGCCGACATCCCAGATGATCTTATCATGAGGAGCATTGAAGACATGATGAATTGCCACAGAAAGCTCCACCACTCCAAGACTAGCGCTCAGATGCCCCCCGGTTCTAGACACTGTGTACACTATCTCGGCTCTTAGTTCTGCCGCAAGTTGTTCTAAATCCTGAAGAGAAAACAATTGATTCATCAAAGAGGAAAGGAAAACTAATGATGAAAAGAAATAGTTTCCAAGTGGAAAAAAGTGAGTACATGAACGGATAGATTCTTCATGTGGATGGGATAGTTGATGGTATCCAATAAAGGAGTCTTCGGCTTCTCCCCTGAGAAATCAATCTTCCACTCACGCTTTTCTTTTCTAACTGCAATCTCCTGATCCCCATCGCCGCGCCCTACTCTCACACAAACCTGAAAAAAATTGAATCTTCTTTTAAAAAGTGAAACGGGAAAGGGATGGATATAAAAGGTTCGATTTTTCTGCCAGCTCAAGAAGGAAAATGGAGAAAGGTGGGATCTTTCGTGTCTTAACAATACCTGACGCCGGAAGCCGGCAGTAGGTAAGATAGCCGACTGAGAAAAAAGGCAATTGGGGGCCATTAGAGGTGTAGATAACGCCATTGCAGTAAAGAGACTACCTTCGACAGGGAGAAGACGAGAGGAAGGGTTGAGTGGGTTTTGAACTGCAATTGAGCTAGAGGAGCTGGTGTTTTATAGGAGAAAGTTGCAGAAGTGGATCGAAGTGGAGGACTGACGAGACTCCGTGGCAATTTGGTTCCTTGAAGCAATGGAATTTTATATTTATCATAAATTTGTTCATAATTAACTTCGAATCGCGGGTCTCGGCTCACACCAGACAGCCGATGACGTGCGTTTGATTCGCACTAACCCCTAAGACTCATAATTAACGACATATTTTAATTTTTAATTCCTCTTTATTTCTTTATATACATACCATGCAATTTTTATATGTTAAAATGTCTAATAACTATATTTAAATATTTAATATACAAAATTTAAATCTTCAACATTACATAAAAATATGACGAATACTAAATTTTAAATTATAAAATATATTATCATTAAAATTTTAATGTTGTTGTGATAGTATATTTTAGATATTAGATATTTAATAAATTGTGTTATATTTACATAAATTCTTAAAAAAAAAAATGTAGATAAAAATCTTTCTAAGTTTGTATACAAAACAAAATTCTCAAGGCAATCAATTGGCCTAGAGCAAAAAAAGTAAAATTCAATGATTTGACAGAAGACTTCATGTGCTCAATAAGTCGATCGACTAGTGATCATTGGTCGATCGAAGGAAGAATGATCGACTGAATTTTTGCCCAGCTATCGAAGAATTGCCCGGATCGAAAATTTTGATGTTGATTATCTTAGAGTTGATCGGTTGATGTTTGAAATATGTTCATAAATAATAAGCCAACCTAAATTAAATAAGTCAACTGATTCAAATGCATATAGATCAGAAGAATTAGACTCACAGAAAGTTGTCAATATCAGTTATTAATGAGAAATATTTTAATGTCGGTTATGAATGTGAAAGGATGTTGGTATCAGTTATAGATTCAAAAAGACGCCATTATTGGTTATAATTACCAAAACACGTCAAAGAAGGTAAAAACTTATATGTAACACCCCCAATAAAATAAAGACAAATAATGAGTTGTTACGACCCATTAAAATGGGGGTAAAAATGCAATTTTATCAAGAGTCTCCTATGATAATAAATAGGGACCATTTTATGAATGAAGAGATAGATGCTTCCATCATTATTCATCTTGCACTCTAGTATTCTCTCTATCTCTCTCTTCTTTCCTTCTTCTTTATACTCTATCCCTCAAGGATTGTTCCAAAAGACAAAATGGGATTCAAAAAATACCAAATTATATTTGTAGAATAATTCTATATTTAGGCTTATATTTTTTGAAATTGTGTTAAAAAAAATTAAAGGCGATAAACTTATAATTAATCTTTTATTTAAGATAATATAATAATATAAGGGCATTTATATACAAAACATTCAAATGTTATTACTTAAGAAATTTTTTTTCCATATTTTAAATTTCATATAAATATCAAAATTCACATGAAACTCTCGACCAATATTTTTATAGTTGTCAAATTTTAAATGATTTGATCACTACACGCAGAAGATACAAAATCAATGATTCAAAAAATCATAAGAATAATAAAATCATAAATAAATAAATTCAAAATCATAATCTTAAATAATTATTAGGGCAAGTGGCCTTGATTCAACTTTTATCATTAATCGTGTTGCTTTTGATTATCCACATAATGGAGTTGGAAACTACTTCGAATGCTCTAACCATGTTGGCAACAAAGAGTAAATTGTTTGGCCGAATCAAATTTTTGACATCTTTGTCGAGAAATTTGATTATAAAATTGATTTGAAAGTTGGAATAGGTTGTTTTCTAATTCAAATTTTAATAATTTGTTTTATTTGTATCAATGGTTATCAACCATGTTTAAATTGTCCTGTTTTGTTATATGTTCATGTTGTGTAGCTTGTCTTGTGCAGTTTAAAGTCTTTTATTGATTTTTGTCTCAAGATTGAGCTCTTGTGTTTTTCTTCATTTTGCTTTTAATTGTTGTCATCTATTTATTAATTTTTTTGAAGTGTTTAATTACTATTAGTATATGTTATTGTTAATTATAATTGACTTTTGCACATCGAACTTAGTGGTGCACTGCTGCATTCGTAGTGTTGAACTTTGCGATTTCGTACTGCTTGATCATCAGATAGATTAAAAAAGCTAAAAGACTTTGAAAACTCTAAAAAAAAAAAACAATTTAAGAGTTAAGGCAATCCCATTGGCAAAAAAAACGATCAATCTAGACCACTTAGAGACGTTGTCAATCGTTTAGCATAAGGGTACATCAAAGCATAAATATACCAACTATAATACTATTTGTGTTCAACTTGAACATGCAATTGTCCAGATGGCTAAAAACAATTACTTTGGGACATTGACTAAGATATTTAAATATGAATTTTATTGGCATATATTATTTAAGAATGTGGATGAATTTATTAGGAAATGTGATAAATGCCAAAGAGCGGACTTTGGTGCCAATAGAATATGTATCCAAGAGAATTGAAGCTATAAATACCCCTAAAAATGATTGAAGGGCAATTTTAAAGTCCTTTAAAGGAAATATCATTGAAGCAAATGAGTTTCTTAAAAAGCCAACGTGATAAACGATTTGAAAATCAAACACGCAATTTACGTCCTCTTTCGCCAAACGAAATAAACTAATTAAAAGCAATGAACTTCGTCGAGTCTTCTTAAAAGCCAACGTGATTGATAACTGATCCCATCTGAACAAACGAGACTTGTACAAGGTCAATACAAAAAAAACAAGAATAATAAATAATAGCGTTGCGGGGGATCAATTGCTTCAGATCTCTCGCTGGACCACCTCTTGAAAGCGAATTGATTTGTATGTACAAAATATAATTTTGTAAGACTTAGCAAAGTAGAGCTTTGAGAGTCTCATGAATATATATATATTAATGATGATTTAGCTGATTATTTAATGAGTACTATTTTGTTTTTTTTTTTTTTTAATCAAAGTGAATGCTCGAAACTTAAGAATTCTTCATTTTAATTCCGGTTAATGTGCTATACATTCAAATAAATATTGGGAAAATTACATACATAGTGCCCAGTTCTTATGGATTTATGTATCTCACATCTGAATTTTTATTTTTACACAAATAATGATTTGTCTATAGATGAACAGATGAATTGGATGATTAAAATATGATAATGAGTGATGTTTTTGGACCATGATAGAATCATTTTTAGTATTGTTGGGTTTGTAATGTCAGGATATTTAATTTGATTATAAAGTTGTTGAAATCAGAGCTTTAATGTTCTTAAATTTAAATCTAAATGTTATCATATTGTATATGCATTGAGATTCATGCTTGATGATGTAGATTATATTATATATCAAATATATATTTAGTGAGTCTTTGTCATGATTTAAACTAGCTAAAAAATTAATAAAGTAATTTTGAAAATATTTTAAACTCTTCATATTTAAGCATCGACTGAACTCTTCATTTATCACCTAAAATAGATGAGGAAAATGAAGGAAGGTGATTGGGACTTCACTTAATTTATAAAATAGGCATCAAGCAAAATATACTGATATTTATCTATAAAAAATAACTATCATGTTTGAACCCTAATTTATTTTTTTATGGATATAACAATTACCATTGTGCGACTCCAAGAAGCATAATCATTCACAATGAGCATTTGTAAGAATAATTTCGTTCTTAGGTTTTTGGACTGGTGGGGATAGTAGGAACTAAGAAGATCTTCCACCACAAATTTACTTGTAATTACCTCAAAAGATTGTCCTCGTGATTCCGCCATGGTGTGGATCGACGTGTGTCTGGCTCCATTATCTCGGGGTTGTTGTAATAGTGTTACATATGGAGAAGAGGTATATGAAAGAGAGAATGGTTTTTCATATTTCCAAAGAGTGAAAACACATCCAAATAATTTTAATGATATAGTTAATAGAAATATTTTTGAACATGAGAAAATTTGATTGAGAATATGTTGGTATATGTTTATGCCAACCACATAGATTTTGAACATTTTAATTTATCTGAATTATCAAATACAATATCAAAACTGATAAAACTATTTCAAAAAATAGAAATTACTCTTTTATGATGTATTCAATTAGAATTTCAATCAACATTTGATGAATTATCAAATTACTCCTTTTCCCTGCTTAACCTAAAGACAAAATTGAGTTTAGATTAATCTCGGTTACAAACTTCATATAAAAAGAAGTCTCTATAGTTGATATCATCTTAAGAAAAAATTTTCATTTAAGGTTGAGGTTATGTATTTAATAATTTCAAAGTTAATTTTTACGTTTGTTTATTAAGAATTTCAATTGGAAAATATCAAAACAGAACAATTTTTATCAAAACCCAAAAGAGAAGAAATGGAAAGTGTTTAGATGCCGAGAAACTTAATGACATTTCAACTAACTTATTATTTAGTTTTATCAATCAGAATTAAATAGATTTATTGTTTAAGTTGTTAATTCATTAAAATTTTAAGAGCTTATATCCTACGATATCTGACTGTATGAAAGCTTAGAAGGCGAGGTCTTATGTCGTAACAAGATGAATGACCTCAGAACCTAAAACTAAATGTGAGGTCAACTTAATAAGTAAAACCTCAGAACTTATTCTCACGAGAAAACTTATTCTCATGAGAAAATACAACATAACGAAACTTATAGCACGATCTCACAAAGGACTAGGCAAGCCTGACTTAGTTGGACTTACAACCTTACCTGGATAGGAGTAGCCCACTAAACTTACCTTGCAATGTAAAATTATGTATATAAAGTCTAGTGAGATGCAATGTAGGTAGGCCATTATTTATTAGAGAGAAAAATTAAGGCTTAATTTGATTATGAAAATCAAGATGTTGAAGGTATGATTGATGTGTAAATATCTTAAACGAATGTAGAACAATTTATTTAGAGTTTACAATTTATCATTTTTAATTATCTAATTTAAACTAAGTGATTTTATTTGGTTCAAATTTTAATATCTAGTGATAAGTAAGTTGTGTGTATGCATACAATTATTTATGATGCATGCATAGATGATTAATTTAAAGATTAAGTCTAATATGCAAAAATTGACCCATTTTATAACAAAGGTGATATTAATATGATAGATCCCCCATTCTCTTGCAATAAGCGAGGGTATGAAGACAATAAAAAGAACTAATATGTA